GAGATCATTTCCACACTTGGAACTGAGCGTACGCCAACGTACGAGGATCTCAAGAGTATGAGTTATCTCAAGGCTGTTCTCAACGAGACTCTTCGTCTATACCCAGCGGTTCCTTTCAACGTTCGTCTTGCTCTCAAGGATACTACCCTTCCTCGGGGCGGCGGTCCAGATGGTTCTGAGCCACTCCCCGTTCTAAAGGACTCGCCAGTTGCATATTCCACCCTCGTCATGCAGAGACGTTCGGATCTGTATCCTCCTATCAGCGATGCATTTGCCGACCCTCAGATCTTCAGCCCTGAGAGATGGGCCCACTGGCATCCTAAGCCCCATGATTATATCCCTTTCAACGCTGGTCCTAGAATTTGCATCGGTCAGCAGTTTGCTTTGACTGAGATGAGCTATGTTCTGGTCCGCCTGTTCCAGAAGTTTGATCGTGTGGAGAGTCAGATGAAGGGCATTGATGGAGGTGAGCCGCTCCTCAAGGCAGACATTGTCTTGTCACCAGGTCAGGGAGTCAAGGTTGCATTCTGGGAGGCCCAGGATTAGTATTCTGGTGCTATGTGAATAACGATGATTGTGTGGACGATGTACAAATTTGATATGCACGATATCGAGGCGTTCGTACTTATAATTTTTTGGCCCCAACAGATTGGCTTGTATGTTGTTGAACTATCTCAATCTTCAAACTTGTCCCTGCTTCCAGCAACTGATTGCCAAGACAAAGTCTATTTCCTACCAAAGCTATCTCTTACAGCCTTTCCGAATCTTTCAATGGCCTTGTCCATATTCTCAGGGGTTGCAGATGCATATGTCGCTCTGAAGAAGAGTCCCGGTGGTGCCTTGTCCTTCTCAGTCAGGAACCACGAGCCCCGGGCGATAAGAACACCATTCTCGATACAGGAGTTGAAGATCTCTTCTTCGATATCAATGATGCTTCGCTTTCCTGCTTCAGGATGCTTTGTATGATCAATGTTAATCCACATCTTTGAGAGTTAGTTGACGATTTCCATATGGATTGATGCGGTGCACTTACAAACATGCCAGCGACAGGAGGAGTCCAACTAGCAAGATCACTAGGTAGATGATCTTCGCAAGCGGCCAGAAGAGCATTGCGCTTCTTTGTATACTCCAGTCGCAAATTCATCAGCCATCGTAAGTAACCCTCGTGTCCCCATGTCTCGTCAAGCAACTTGTACAGAATGACCTGGGAGAAGCCACTGGGCCCCTGGCTTGCAACTTCAGCGTGTCGGATATACCGCTCGACAATCTGTTCCGACGCTGTTATCCAGCCAAGACGAGAGCCTGGCACGAGAACTTTTGAGAAGGAGTCCATACGCATAACTCGTCCGTCAACATCGATGCTTAGAAGTGAGGGAATGAGAGACGATACAAACTCCTCAACCGTCTCTGGCGGTGGTACTTCTGGTTGATCACGACCCGTGTAGGGTTGCATCTGGAGGAAGTAGTATGGCTCATCTTCGATGATGTACAGGTCATGCTTTTGCGCCACGGCATAGACGGCCTTTCGTCTCTCGGTTCCCTGTGTTGCGCCTGTGGGATTCTGTCCTGAAGGAACAGTATACAACACATGAGGCTTCCTCGAACCCCGTTCTTTAACATCCCAGTTTGACAAGAGCTCATCCATAGCCTCGGGGACTAGGCCCTCCTCGTCGATCGCCACGCCAAATGCCTTCACCCCAAGAGGACCAACTGTTTCCAGGGCAGTCGAGAAGCTGAAATCTTCAGTGAGTATTGAGTCACCACGATCCTTGTCACAGAACATTCGCAGCGCCTCTTCTAATGCTCCGGTGCTGCCGATCGTCTGGCAAACTTTCCAGTCTGCATAGGGAGGGTTGTACACAATCTCAGTGTGTTCAGTCAAGTATCTCATCATTTGCGGTGATCCCGTGGCTTGGCCGTAGTTGCAAGCGATGGACAAGTCATAAGTGCCTCCGCGATCTCTCACGTCATATTTTCCAATTGTTACAGTTTGGCCCGATTCCTCAGTCTCCTTCTCGGAGAACTTTGGTGCGACGGGGACTTTGAAACCGAGTTCAGCGATGGGGAAAACTTCACTGGACGGCAGTCCACCGCCTAGTGAGATAAGGCCAGGTTTCTTCATGTAGCGAGCTGCTTGCTTGAGGGTGCATGGTTCTCGCACTCTACTCTCATGACTCAAATGGTCTGTAGACATATGTAAGCTATAATCATGAAATCCGAGATGTTTTCTTAGCACTTACTATCCCATCGCTTGGACTTGGGTAGTCCAGTAGTCTGTCATTGCAATGAGCTTCAGATCAATTGTCACTCAAACGTCGAACTCCTCAACTCACCGGTCCTTTGAACATGTCACTATCTGAAGCAGCAGCAACTCCAGCCACAAGCTTTCCCGCTTTCAGCCGTCTCTCCTTCACGGCATCGATAGCGGAGAGCTGCTGTGAGGTATCATAATGCGCTGGACGGGCAGCCGGGGCAGCCTCGGCGCTTGACAGACATCGCGATGTGGTATGAAGTGAGCGGCCATGTCGAACCAATGGCCCAAACCGCGATCCTCTGACAGCTGGGAGCATCATGAAGGTATGTGAAGGTACGAGATGTTGTGCACCGTGTAAGTGGAGCTGGCTGAGGGGTTCTTGGAGCTTCAAGTAACAGGGGGGCTAAGTTTTAGCAAGATGTTGAAGATAGAAACTAGTTGCCCGGGACTCATAAAGAACAGAAACAGGAGCTTGTCAAAATATCAAAGGGTGTCTTATTAATCCCCTTCGGAGCCGGGAGATGCCACCAAACGTCGCCGGTGCCGGGCTTGTCAGTCTCCGCCCGATCTTAACCGGCTGTATCCCAGATACCCTACACCGGAGCTCCGGGCTTGGGAGCGGGGTTGTGTCATTGACGCCTCACGAGGTCAGAACTCTTTATTCAATTAGTTATCTATTACGTACGCTTGGCCTGTGTATCTCGCTGTGCTACGTTGCGCGTGACCATGGTCAAGGAGCGGTGGCCACTGTTGCTTGAGCCTTCATGCCAAATAATCGCTACGATATCGGCACTTGACCACGCCCTTTGAATTGTCACCTACGCCCAATTGCCTAGTGTCACTCCTAGCGGGCCTATCTCACGCCTTCAACCATCAGAGATAGACCACCCCGGAATGATAAGAGAATGTATCCTCTTTGGACCTATGGCCGAACAGATCCACACACGAACGATGCTGCAGCTCTGTAATTGCATCTTGCATACCTAGGAAGGGTGGACGAGTAGACTATCATCCAACAGGATTGCAAAAAAACCCAAAACATTCAACCAAGGCTCAGAAGTAGGTAGGTGTATCATATATCTAGTTCACCATTGTCGCAGGCTCTTATCTTTGTTTGGCCAACATACTCGCCAGCGGACTTGACACCAACCATAATGCAAAGAAAAGGAAGGTATTGTAGGATTGTCCCGAATGTTTAAAACTCCTCTCTGGGCAGTTAACATACCCTCATCCATCACAATCTCGAATTCAGAATCAGACTCAACTTATTCATCCAGTCGTGACTGGATATGCAGGCATACGGCACTTGCAACCATAGCCAAACATGTCGCCCAAGATACATGAACCAGCATGATATAGTCGAAACCTGCACCAGTACATTTTCCTACCAGCATGCCCAAAGACACACAGGCTGCAAAGATGGGGGACATGTTAGGATCCCGAAGGCGTTGCCGATGAAGAAAAGAAGCAATCGAACAACCGTAGATTATACAGGCTGTGAGCACTTGCCACTGAGAAAGCCTGATTAGCGATTCGGAGTGCGCTGTCTGCGGCCAGGCCTTACACCAACCAAAACGTCAGTTTCTGTCTCCCTAAAGCAATATGTGCAGCAGATACAAACCCGCCATGAGGTTCCCGAAGCAATCGTGCAATCAGTCAAACTCACCGTATCTGGCAAATGAGTGCTTGATCGCATTTGGTGCATGAACTCTGACATGACCCAAGCGCTTCCGCCTGCTGGTAGAAGCTCAACCACATCGGCAACGAATGGGATGAGCGACACATGGCGGACGGAGCCTTTTTCAGACTGTCGAGACTTTCCATTCGAATAAATAGTCATGAGAAGAGAAGAAGTCCCGCACGAAGGGAAGTATTGCGAAGGTAGTTGATCAGTCTCAAGCCAAACAACTTTGCTCTCTTCTCCGGGCGTTAAAATCATTGGGTCCATGTAGTCTTATAAGTAGTCCTTCCCGGACCAAAGAGGATGCTGGGCATCACTACCTGGACAGCAACACAATAAGCGGGCCTCAATCAACGTGGGTATAGTCGATATACCGATCTGCCATCCGGAAACGCGGAGAGAATTTCCATGCGTCTTTATGGGACAGCATAGGATGAACCAACAGTACTCTTGACACAGCCATAATTCTCAAGGCGTGCCTTGGTTTGATGTGTCCATGCCTAATGAATATGCTGATGTCGGGTTGAAATGGTTGTAAGGCATACTCAGCTCAGAAGATGTGAGATAACGTCAGCCAATCGTTTGAGCCTCATATGGTTCGCCCGCCCGACACTCAACCACAAACCGACTGCTTTGCCTCGTACGTGGGCCAACTCAATAGGCTTAGATTGCGTTGCGTGCGAGTAAAGCATAGAAGTGGCCGGTTTGAGACAATTCCAAATGAATGCCTCACATCTATGACTTGGTGCCGAGCCTATCATCCCAGGATGCAGCTTTCTTGAGGCGAACAGGCGAACATGATTTGGCTGACTGCTGCATTCACCACTGGTATCCATTGCTTCGTACCAGTGGCGAGCATCCAACACTTGCTAGCTTTGGGCTTTGCGTTGGGCGTCCATGGTTATAAGAACTTTGATACGGCCAGAATCTCAAATCAACAGCATTGTTCCTTGAACTGGTTTTATTGTCTGTCTCGAGTAAACGTTGTCAAACCAATTTCGAAAGTAGTTTTGGGCTGCTCCCTCCCTCTCCTTTCAGCCCAATCCACTCATTGCCATAGACAGCATGCCTGACATAGCAAGGAGTTTCATATGGCGAATTGTACGCCATGTCGCAATCATCTTGCCCGCGGGGACTCTCCTTGGTGCTGGCGTTGCCTTGGGGTTACCTCCGCACCCTCACTTGGATGCTGCGTAAGTCTGTATGTGCTCGTCAGAGCTTTTATGCTGACGATGTCTAGAATCTTCTTGTTGCTAGCCGTGTCTGCCGTGGTTTCTTTTCTCTTGCACGGGCCGGCCTTTCAGCAGTAGGCGCCTTGGACTGGGAATCGGAAGAAAAGCTGACAACTGAGTCACAGAGCCCGTCTCGGCACTATCGCTGGTCTCGTTGCCCTTAGCTGCATCATTTCTCGGTCACACTGCTTCACGCAATCCCCAATGTCAAGAATCGAGATCATGGTCGGGCTTCGAGATTATATCCTGAAGATGGCCGTAGTCACATCCGTGATAGCCATGAGATTGACGGCGATGCCCAGAAACAGACAAGAAACCGCGGGAACAATGGAGGAGGGAGAGCATATCTCACCCAGGGGCATTGAGCGATACAAATCTCTGCGCAATCTAAGCACAAGACTGTCCTGGGACTTGGCTTCCACCGTAAGCCATGTAGGTCTACTCTCCAACATAGGCTCATTGGATTTCAAGTTTATGTCTGGACCCAAATCCCATGATTCGGACTGTTCATCTGGTAAAGACTCGGACATTACACTGTCATCTGATATGCAAGGCGAGCCGACCCGGAACATGGATATCATTGAATGGACTACTGCCACAAGCCCTGCCATAGGCTCTGTCACACTCGAAACCATAGCAGACCCATACTCAACGCAGACAATACTGCAGAAGGATACAGCGTAATGTCTCAAGGCAGGAGAAGTTCATGTCAGCGGAACTCTGCCTGTTTTGACATTGCGAAGAGGCCCAATGATAATACTTAAAGGACCATGGATATTGCCTCTCCCAGGACAGGACCCAACCTGGAACAAGGACCACGAGGGCCCACGCAAATGAAAACCCATTGGCTTTTGAACGTTGTGTTTGCTGGACCGATGTTGCACCTCTTCAAAAGCGAGCGTCAATCTTTGTTTATTTTTGTTTATTCAACTTATGGAACCCAATCTGACCGTGGCTGGCTCAAGGATTTGTGCATAGGATTAACCAAGGACTGCTTGGCAAAGGATCGCTAGCCCAGGCGCTGAATGTACCCATGGACCATGGCCGTAAGATTTGCTCAAGGCGAGACAGGGTTTGCGAGACGATAGAGTCAGATGCGATGCATGTATTTTATTTATTTGTGTCGTTGGCTCAATGAGTATAGATGTATATACATCCTTTGTAGATGATAGGGCTTCTAGCAAGACATGTGAGGAAACGGAATAAACGTTGCTGAATTTGTTACTGTTTGGGCACCAGACTTTCGGTAGTGAAGAGGATCTGACTTAATCAAGCCCAGTGAGAGGAATGTTGCGATAGTGTAGGTACTACCTAAGTAGTAGGTACCTGTAGCCTAGGTACCTAAGGTACTGTACCTATATAAAGGTAGCAAGTTTCATATCGTTCAGGGGTGACGGGAACAGAAGGACGGAAAGAGCAAGACGGAAACTTACATAAGCCAGAAACCACCAATCAGACTCCTTCATGACAACATCCCCAGGAGCTCATCCGCGACGACAGTGACAACCCACTATCATCTTCCATACCATCATACCTGAACAATATCATAAGTCAATGCCACGAGGAGCCATAACTAGAGCCAGATAGCGCGCAGGGTCATGTTTGGGTCTCTGCTGCAGCGAAATCCTTCCAATCGAAGCGCTGGTCCCCCAAAAGCACCGCGCATCTACAGCTGTTGGACCCTTAGCTGAGGAGCTAAGCTGCCGCCATGTATTGGCCCATTGGAACACCACGCATCCATGCCACCAGCAGCAGTCGAGCTCCAGCCTTTAAGCTTGTCGTTTCTCATGATGGCCTCACGAGCCCCTCCGATTCTAGTCTAATACCATCGCCTGGTCCTCCCACTTCTCAACCTCAAAGTCATACCATTGATGACCTCGACTCTCAACCACCACCGACCCCAATAACACCAGGAATCCGACCTGTCGAGCACGATGACTATACATCAAGTAGGCCTCCGCAAGCTTCTGAAAGCACCGAAACAGGAGGAATCCCTGTTAAAGATCCCATACTGGCGTTGCGAGTTTCACGTTCCGGTAATCTGTTCGCTGTTATCACAACAACTTCCATTACAGTCTGGCAGACCAAAGTAAGACCTGCAACACATTTTTGGCCCATTCGCCCTTCATGCTGACCGAAATAGCCTGCTGTTATCCTAGCTGTGGTTATTCGATCAGATTATTCCCTGGAAACGTACGGCAGAAATGTCGACCTATTACTGAGACCTGACGCCGCCATCCTCGTTATACATACAGACCAGGGCTATCTCATCACTTACTCCTTGGCTACCGATCCCGACTCGCGCGTATACAAACCTCATTTCGCGAATTACAGTAATGTTCAGCGAAGGAGACAGAGTCTTATCGGAAGCCTTACCGGCCTGCCACCAGAGCAAATATTATGGGGTGCTGGCGAAGGCCCAGGGGTTCGCGACCTCAGTGTTCGCTTTAGAATGGTGATTAAGGTCGATGCCGGAATTGAGAGTGCGCTCGCTCTTGACGACGAGCTGATGGTTGCAACAAGGAAGCCTGCGGCCGTGCAATGTATCCGCTGGACGCCGGACAGTACGGGCTCCCAGACGAGAACCGAGATAATTAGCCGAATGGGATGGGTCGAGAAGAAGGTAACCATCGTTGAGATGACACATGATCGTCCAATGAACCTTTTGACATGGATTACGAGCAGCGGACGAGCGTATGCGGTTCAGCGCTACAATCATCGAGCAGAGAGCAGCCAGGCCGATGACGGGGATGCTAAGCGACTCTTTAAAGGCCACTGTTTCCATGTTCCCCAAGGCGAACATGATCGCGCCACTGCGGCGGTTATAAATGCAAGGTTTTCTCTCATCGCCGTTGGTTGCTGCGATGGGACAGTGCAGGTATACTCTGTCCGTGACTATGCAGGCAACATCCCTCATTCACATACCCATCAAGTCCCTGTGTCAACGGCATCTTCAGGAGCATTCACTAGTCTAAGTTACTCACCCGATGGTTACTGCCTTTTTGCGGGGTTTCAGAAAGGCTGGTCTACCTGGAGTATGTTTGGCAAGATTGGAAGTCATAGTTTTGGATCTGAAGAGACAACCTCGCGCGCCAATGGGGAAGAATGGCTAGCTGGAATTTCCGGGGCTACTTGGGTAGGGGGTGGCTCCGAGATCCTGATGACAGGACGCAAGCATGAAGCTATATGGTCCCTGGAGATGGCCAAGAATGCCGTTACTGGGTGTTACAATGAGGCAAACGTCTTCCGGACTGTGCTGCAGACTCCTTCCAGTGTGATGATCTACAGAGGTTATGATGTTCCAGATCTTACCAGCATCTCGGCAGAGCCATTCCTATGGCATACGGCAAAAGTCCCTCCAACATACCTCTTGAACCAGTGGCCAATACGGCAGACTGTCATCTCTCCTGACGGCCGCTACGTAGCTGTGGCTGGCCGACGGGGACTTGCCCATTACAGCGTCAACAGCGGCCGCTGGAAGACATTCGCCAACGAGGCTATGGAAAATGAGTTTCAGGTCAGAGGCGGCATGTGCTGGCATCAACACATTCTCGTTGCTGCAGTAGAAGCCAACAGAAGATTCGAGCTACGACTGTTCTCGCGTGAGACAGCACTTGATTCGGCCCAGATACTACACACCCAGACAATCCCAGCCCCTGTGGTCCTGGTGACCACCTCTGGCGAGGACTCACTTCTTGTCTATACCTACGAAAACCTCCTGTATCATTTTATCTTTACCCCACATGGCGGCTCTATACGACTCATACAAGTAGGCCAGATTGCGTTTCACGGCATTGTCAGATCTCCAGCTCGAGTGAGGGGACTGAGCTGGATATTACCCGACACGCAGTTAACAGATGGCGACCCTTCTCAGGATGTTGCCGTTGCCTCGGTGATCTTTCTTGTCGACGGAAAGCTTGTACTACTCCGGCCATCCTTGAACGACGAGGGCCAGCTGAAATATGACATGCGTGTCATCGCACAAAACGTGGAGTACCACGCTAGTGTCCGGGATCAGCCATTGCGAAACGTGAACCGACAGCTCGAAGACAACCCCTTGCGGAACGGACCGCCAGCCCTAAAAGACTCTCTCTGGGTATTTGACGGAATGGAACTCAAGGCCTGGCCAGACATCAGCCAAGTTCTGGATGCGGCTGGAGACAATGGCAAGGAACCGCCATCTCCGGTCTCCATTCCCGTTGACTTCTACCCCCTATCAGTCCTTTTGGAAAAGGGCATCGTATTGGGAGTTGAATCGGATCTTGTCCAGCGTCGCGATGTGAACTTCTCGTATTTTCATTTCGCTATCAGGGTATGTTTTCAAGCGTCCTATTGTAATATGCTAGCTGACAATGACCAGACACATCTCATACTTCCAGACTTACTGCGGTTCTATCTCAGGCAAAGCAGATCAGTTGAAGCCTCGAACCTGGCCCACCAGTACAAAGAGCTCGAGTATTTTGCACATGGGCTTGAGATATTGTTACATCGTGTATTGGATGAGGAAGTTGACACATCTCCGAAGCCTGTTGATGCCGTGCTACCTCGCGTTCTATCCCTTTTATCCTCATTCAAGGAGTATCTTGATATCGTGCTGCAGTGCACACGGAAGACCGAAGTTCGTCAGTGGAAGACATTGTTTGCATACCTTCCGCAGGCACAAGAACTCTTTGAAGAGTCTTTGCAAAGAGGTTCATTGAAGACAGCAGGTGGATACTTAATTATATTACATACATTGGACGAACTGGGGTCCTCAACCGAACAGTCGGTGCGACTTCTATCTCGCGCCATGAGGGAAGGCGATTGGGAATTATGCAAAGAACTTGCACGGTTCTTGGCAGCCATGGATGAAACTGGTGAAACGTTACAAGAAGCCATGAGGATGGTGGAGGTGTCACTTAAGCAAGAATCAGGACAGGACAGCATCGGAAGTCGACTCCAGATTCCGTCGTCGCGCGCAACAAATGGAGGAGGGAGTGGTTTGACCAGCGGCGACGAGGACGGGACCTCGGAATCAGATAGACGGTCTGGTAGCGATGGAGGTAGTGTCGCCTCGACGATCAGTGCCACCTAGAGATTTAAGAAGGGCTTGGATCAACAGTTCATGTTAGGATTATCTTTTGATAGCCACTGGAGTTTAAGATTGGGAATGGTGGGTATGCGGTAATAGGAGTACCATTGTTTTATTATCTTGGAAGAGTTCATAATCATTTACGGCCAATTGACTGAAATGCGTAATGCTGTAGTCGAACTATTTTGTTCGTGATCCATACCAATGTCACTTTAACTGTTAGGCGACCAATGATTTAAAGCCAACTGTGCTTATTTGGACGCATCGTCAAGTCGTGATGTTTCTATGGTGTTGAGATGAGGTTCAAATTCGGGACATGTACCCCGCCAGGTCACGTTACCCTGTCGCCTGGTGGCCCATCCCGTTCAAGCTCGAGCGTGGACGGGGACGCAACGCAGAGATAGGATGCAGAGACGGCTTTTGCAACCCCACCATCGAGAGGCCCAAACCAGACCAGACCAGACCAAAGTATAGACTACAAACGAACGGGCCAGGGATTAACGAAGCACGATATTTACGATACCATAACGATACGATCTCGACGAAAATACATTCTCCAAACGCACACTGATATTACCCACTGCGTACCTGTCAACTACCAAGCCAGCGAGTT